TAGTATGCAATGGTAAGAGTCGCTCCCCGTCCGTCCGCCCGCTTGAACGAACTGTTGTCTCTGTCCGATGTGTAGCGAGTAGCGAACTACTCTTCACAAGCGGACGGTTCGTTACCCGCCCGCTCGTTTGCGGGTAGTGCCAGCGAGTAGTTCGTTACTCGCGGACGCTAATTTTGCGAGCCCGATCCAACCCTAGATGATAGATGTTTGACAGCAAAGAAGGAGCATAATTTCTTTTTTAATGAAAAAGAAATCAACAAAAGAAAAAAGGAACTCATTAACTACACTAAAAACCCAATCAAAGAAAGTCCTATACCTTGTCCACTTTCATCAGTCCATCTTTAAAAAATTGTAGCTCATTTATTTACTTTCTACCTATGCCCCCGAAGTTTTGCATTGCATTTTTGCAGACCAGCAAACAAACAAAAATATTTTATAATATATCTTGATTAAGTAATAAAAAAATGTCAATTCCTTAGTATGCAGTGACATTTAAGAAATGTCCGTTAGATTCTGTTGGTCATCCAGCTTTTAGACCCATACACAAAGACCTGATTAGATTAATTAAACAGAACGGTTTCATTTCACCTTGTTTTAACTGCGGCCAAATGAAAGTGAACAAACTATAGAGTATTATTTAGTGAATAAAATTCTACTGTCTTCATCTTCTACTCTCAATTTCAGTACATCATCACTTTCCTGTACAATACACAACAGTGCCAGATATGTACACACATATAAAAATAAGAAATACAAAGGAAAGCAAATGGATGCATACCTCCAAACATTGAACTGAACGAAGAAAAGAAATACTACTAAAACCTAAACCAAAACAACAACAGAAAATGCCAGTATAATGTATAATGGTGATTCTCTTAATTCTCTTAAGCCACAAAATTTGCAGCCAACTGAAAAAGGTTCATCTTTATGAGTCAATTATTACATAAATATGTGAGGCATTGTGGTGAAATCAGGTGCTCGTCAAAAAATGTAATAGAAAAAACCCCGCATTTTCCCCCTCGTTTGGCAATTTTTATAGAATTATTGCATTTTGGCCCAACACCTTTAATGTCCATTGAAAAACATATTTCAATGTGGATTCAAAAGGTAAAATGATTAAAGGCACAAAAAATATAAATCTACAGTTTCTAAGCTATATGGAGATGACCAAATTTTGACAGGCATTCTCTCGCTAATTTTACTTCTGAAACCAGGCAACCCCACCTTTTTCAATCGCAAATCAAATATTTTTTTCGTTGGAAGCAAGACAAACGAACGAGCTTTAAGATAATATCAATAACTCTACATGTTAACAAATTTGACCAGCACCTGATTCCACTGAGCGATGACACATATTATGTAGGGCTACATTTCTAAAGAACAGCCTCTGCATTTTCCTATTCATTAGAGTTAAGAGAGTATCTAAAAGCTCAGCTCATTTCACATTTAATGCTCAATTCCTCTGACACCCCCACCCCAAAACAAGACATCCCGATACAAAAAACTTAGAATGAGCCTTCAGAAGAAAGTGCTACAGAAATATGAGTGTGGACGTTACAGTCTACAATACTATGACATAAGACATACAGACGGGTACAGAAGCACAGAACACAAATAAAACAAAAATTGCAGTAAAATATAGGTCTACTTCTACAAAATATAGAAACAATAAGAATAAGATAAGACTTGACGCTAATAACTAATAGGTACACAATACTAGAAACAGAATGTGTTCTCAAAAAGTAAGCAAATCTGTAGGATGGTAGTACAATAAGCACATTTCCACATCATAATCAGAAATACAGAATCTTTCTTATCCAGAAATGGTAACAAAAAAGAAAGAAAAGTCCAGTCCTCTTGTCTAGCAAGAGGGAGGATAAAAGTCATTCTGTAGAACGGAAGATCGCCATCACAATTTGGTTCAATTTCCGTCTTCAACAAAGCCTAGATATGCATAGTAAAATAAATAGCACACCAAAAATACTTAACAAATCTTTCTGTCAGAAGTCACTTCTACTGACAACATCTGCACTCCCAAGTCCTGTGTGAAATTAACTTAGAGTGCATGAAGCATTTGAAGTATTAAATTATCAATGCATTGCATTCTGTCCCCATGAATAAAATTTGAAAGCAAGGCAACCATTGATATATAGGGGAGCCCGCTTAAACCGAAATGTGCCGGATCAGTGGATTTTCTTAAGTTTAGCCTGGGTTTCCGTTTAGAGAGGTCGCTCAAATAGAAGGAAAAAAATAATCAGGGATTCTATTTTCTTTTGGCTTACCGCCATTTTCAGATCTACTGTGTTCGGTTTATGCGGACTCCATTGTACCTTATCTCCTGAAGAAGAAGCAGATTGAAACTATTGGCAATCTTGGCAAGTACCCACCTGAATAACACCAACATGTACAGATCCTTCTTGGTGTATGGCAGATATCTGATACATAAATTGTCAGTGCATAGCGTGGTACAGCACCCATAACATGGAAAAATACACGTACAAAGACAACTATCTATGATGGAAAAAAAAAAAATAAGGAGTTCTCTCAGGATAAGTTTGACTTCAAACAACATGGCACCGAAAACTCATCCTTCACACATGGCCCAGTACAGACCAGCCTGGTATACAGCAACAGAGAACTGGCAACACTCAGACCATATGGTGTAAATTAGAGACCTGCAGTATTTTTTTCCCCATTCTATTGCAAAATATAGATTTGAAAATTTTAATGATTTTTCTACTTTAAGGAATAGGAAAAGGGCAAGATTAAATGCTTGCAAAACTAAAAAAAACCCATCAGAACACAACTATATTGTAATAACCAGGTAGTTAAATCCAGGACAAATATCAAGGTTCAGAGAATTTGAATTTGATGACATTTTACCCTATCATGATAGCACGTTCTACTGTGGCAACGACACAGGCCAGGAAACGTTGGTGACAGCCATGACACTCTCCAGAAGATGGAAGCAGTTGATATCTACAGGTCACAGGTCACTGGTTACTGGCCTCTCTGTTGGAGGCACCAGCACATGCCTTCACTTGCTGCACCAAGTCACAAAGCCGCAGGATGGGGCCGTCCACTACACTCACTAGTCTCGTCAGCTGGTCTGTCGTCATGTTGATCAAACATGAGCCGTCGATATTCTGGGGAAAAAAACCCGGTAGAAATTTGTTATTACTATTTCGACATCTAACATTAATAAACCTGAAATAACTCTCTGGGTGAGCAGATTAAAAGAGGTAACACCATGGCATAATGACTGGAGAGGGAAGGAAAAAAGAAAAGTATGCTAATACATAGAGTAGAGATAAACGGAGTACAATATCTGAGAAAAAAACATATCTCACCCGGCAAAATGATGCAAGGTTAAGCCAAAAAAGTACAGTCGAACCTGCTCTAAAGGCCATCAGTCCAAGATAATCATTTTTCACTCTTCCCCTTACATTAAAAAAAACTTTATAAAGACACTGTCCAAAACGTCCACCATTTTAAAATAACTACTTTTCTCATCAACAATGGGTGGCTATCTTGGACAATTTTGACTGTAAATACATTCTGTTATATGAACAATGAACAAATATTGATCGGCAGAATGCACTGTCACACTAAGAAGTAATATTATTTGTTCACTGTATCGAGGCCAATTTAAAACTATCCATCCACCTTAAACAGGTAATTTTTTGAGAACTTTAAACAACTCATAACCAACAACATGACTTGCACACTTAACCGCTTCACTGCTGCTCGGCGTGCGGTGTACTTCCATAAATCGGGCCCTCCTATGCCGTGTAAACGTACAGTGTATGCCCGGCAATACCGTTATTTTGTTTAGTTTCCTACTCAGCCGGTAATTAGTATCGAGAGTGGGCTCCCCTGAAAGCTCTTTTCTTCTCGAGTTAGAGAAGCTTTAGTCTGCCCTAGTTAGACAAACAATGACCGAAATAGCGTGAATTATAGCATCACTGAACAGACACCAGAGATGCCAACCACAGAAAACCGAAATGAGTATTGGGAAATATGAAAATGTGTATTTTCAGGGGAAAATGTGTATTCCCCACGACCGACCGACCGACCAACCAGTAATAGTAAAATGTTCAGGGTGTCCAGCAATATTTCCTGAAAAAAAATTACTTGCCCACCAGCTCGAAAAAGGGAGCACACACGCGTACAATATACATGTATCCAGTCAACAACATGTCAGTGTTCAATGTCATACTGGGGTCTTGTTTGACTTAAGTATTTCAGTCTGTCTGTTATATAATATTTTCCTCTCATTATTATAAAAAAAATAAATCCTACTTTGAGAGTTCGGAAGGACCCACAACAAGTATTTCGACTATCAAGAACCAGTCTGGGTGTCATGATTCATATTATGAACTGACAGACTCAAATTATTGCTCAAACTCAGAGAAAAGTAATAACTTGAAAGGCTCAAGTAAACCCATGCACCCTGAGAGTTGTAACAACTGTGGTAGGGCAAGATGCAGTGACACTGAAAATATGCCAGTCTTGAACAGAAAGCTATAACATACACTGCAGGTATAATTTACTATCACCCATCCAATGAAACGTGAACACTATATTTCAATAACACAGACTTGCAAAGTATGAGGGGTCCCGATTCCGCACACGGCCTGCACCAACGCGCGCTTTGCACAAAACTAATCAAAATTCTGAAATGTGCTTCCAAGTTTTTGTCCTCTGGTGTTGCCTTAAACCCCCCCCCCCCCCCATAGTATCTTATACCCCCAAAAAATCAATAATCTCCTCCCCTATGCCGTAGTCGTATACTTCGCAGCTCCGTTACTCCCACCAAAGACGGTCTTTGCTCACCCGATGCCGTTATTTATGATGCGAATGCGCGCAGGTTCAGTGACCGGTAATGATGGCGAGCCAGACAATCTAAAAATCGGACGACGCTTGTATTTTCTTTTCTTTTTTTTTCCCCACAAGTGACAGCACAGCCACGAGTCCGAGTATTTATTACATTTTATTTGCATGGCGACATTGCGTTTATACTGTACAACCTGCATGCCACAAATGTTGCGATATCAGACAACTGCTGGCAAACTTCTCGGCGGTAACGAAAGCGAAATTAGATCTTGATTTTCCTGATCGAGCCTTGGTATCATATACGCTTCCGCCTGCCACCATAGCTGCCTATTCGCGTGAAAGTGAAACGTACTCTCCGGGCGGGGAAAAGCTGAACAAATATACGATCGCGATCGGCAAAAATTAACTTATTGACCACATCGGACTTGGTTTTCAAATATTCCAGTTCTGCGATACTGATACTATTTTGACAAAAGATGGGACTTGAGATAATAAGGTTTACGCCCCCAAGCTGCATCTCATATTTTTCGCCTTCCAGGATGCTTATTTTTTCATGAAAAGTCATATTCGCGTATTTTCGGCACAAAATCGTACTATAATATGTAAAATCGTACTGGTTGGCATCTCTGAGACATTCTCTCTTCACAGTTCTAGCGTCTCACTCTCGCTCTGAACTATGGCTGATCATTCGCGATGTAAGCTCTCAACGTATCAAGCTATCGAAGAAAAAGCCGCCCATTCATTTCCCTTTAAAATGATATCCACATTGTAAATAGCATTTTAAAAGGATCACACGTTTTAATGCTATTCCTGGAAACAAGGTCAGCAGAGGGAGGGGAATATAGGTCAGCAGTGAAGGGGTTAAAAAAAGATGATGCAATCAGGTTGTCTTCTACTCATGGGTACCTTCACTACATCCAGTAAACCATCTCGGCATTATGTGTGAAAAGGCCCGTTTCTGCAGATTTTGGAGGAAAAAAGTAGCTTAACTGTTGATCTCTGCATAATATATACTTCTGCGTTGGTATTATAATATCTCATGAAGAATTTGCAGATCTGGACTCGATAATGGTCTTATTCAGGGCTCAGTGTGAATCTGTTTCGGGGGTATGCCTTGTCACGTCTAATTCAGTGCTTGTCAACCTTTTTGCAGCCAGCACCCACTTTTGCTACCTATAAGAGGCAAAAATGTTCGTACTGTCCACCTACATCCATTTCCAAGTTGGACTTAAACAACAACTGTCACCACCTGGGTGACCTCCATCATCCATGGATACTACTAAACTGCCCACTAGTGGGCAATAATGCCCAGGTTGGCTATTATTATTATCACACAACCATTCCAAAACAATATCGAGAGCCTTGCCTTTTTGATAAACATATTGGTGTAAATTCCACATCCATTCACTTTGAGCACATCCACAACATCTGAGAGGCTCCACTTGGTCAGGTGTAAGGCCCGTAACCTGGAGGACAGGGTGAGGACGATGACCCCTCCACCGGTCTCCTCCGTCAGATCCGAGTCACCAAGGACGGAGGACGAGGATGCGACAAGATTAGACATAGACTCCATCGAGTCCTTGTCTGCCGAGGACTTGAACGACAGGCTGCTCTGCGGGGTAGCACCAGGCTTGGCAGCCTTCTCTGACAGCGAGCTGTTCCCGTTGATGGCAGACACGGAGAGGGAAGATTTGAGAGGGGTATTGGCCCTCAGACGCTCCGCCAGTTCTTGGGAGAAGCGCTGTGGCATTTTCCCATGGGGACTAAGGATGGGAGGGTTGGCATCTGTGCCTGGTGTTGGACTGGCCATCTCTGTTTTTACTGTAAGAGAAAAATATACAGCGGGATGAAGAAGACTCTTGTCTTTGAAGCTTCATCCGTAGTTCTTTCTTGTAAGTCATTCACGCAAGGCACTCGCAAGAACTTGAGGTTTAAAATTTAAAAAAAAATTATTTTATATTTATAAAATTGTCAAAGAAGTTACAAAATGCTATTATAAGCCAAATTTCCAAAGGGGTTTTCCCTCAGCTTGTAATTCGCTCACTGCCAGGCACTTTATGACTCAACATTCAAAGAATGCCAGGTGTTTTAGCACCAACTAACAAAAATCATTGTGACCTATTATTTCTCATCAAACAATAAAACTTAGCATACAAAAAGGCAATGAAAAATATTGTTCAGTGCAAAAGAAATTTTTAAGATATCCTGAATAGTTATCATGATCTTTTATAAATGTGTCAAAATCCCCCCCCCCCCCCCCCCCCCAATAAAATAAAACTATTAGGCCTCAATGCAGATCATAAAGTTCACTGTCACTAACAGACAACAATAAGCCAAATAAAAAGTAACATAAGCCAACCTGAAACAGACTTGTCCTCAATGTCTGGCTCCAGCAGAGGAGGCAAGGTGGCAGCCACAGCCTCGGGAGACAGCATCTTATGAGGTGGGAAGTTGGGGTCACGGTTCAATGTTGGGGCTCCAGCACTGGTTACTAGCTGATTTCTCAATCCCGAATCAATGGTTGTGAAGGCAGATTTTGTTGTCTCTCTTGCTTTTTTATCCGACCCTGAAGTCCGCTCTACTCAGGGGTAAAAAAAATAAAAAAATGAAGGAGAACGAATAAGCTGTAGGAAGTCCAAGAACAAAATCTCTGATGAAAGACTTGAAATTTTTCAGCCATGGAGGGTGATAACACAATGATCATTAAAGGAATTAACTCACTTGAGTCTTTCAGCTTTTGTTACGATATCGAGACAAACATGCTCTATTTGAAGATTTGATGATAATAAGGGTGATTTTGGCGAGGAAATCAAAGTCTGCAGCTCTGACACAGATTCAGAGTTCATAGTAAGAAGTGAATTAGCAGAGATTAAACGATTAGAATGTGAAACAAAGGGACCAAGCACGAGTACTGGCAAACACACAGGGGGACTGATGGGTTGTGCTGGATCTTGGTCAAGTACTATAGTTAGACCTACGACATAAACAGCAATAGAAAGACCTTTCGATCCTGATCCTGTAGTACAAGAGCAGGAGTTACGAGTATGTTCAGGTGGCATTTTGTTACTAAATAAGGCATTTGATCATTGGCTTGGCAAGACAAAACACACCAAGGGAAAGGAGACTTCCATCATAACTGTGCAGTGACATTCCCCTTGGCACTGAACCCTGCTTTTTAAAGATTTCACTAATAAATGAACAATGTTTCTACTTCAGAAAACTTGTAGGATACCTACCTACTTGATTTTGTTCTCAATTACAGACAAATCAAGCATCTTTTCTGTATTATTGCAACACCTCTGGACAAGCCCTCTTAGAAAATTACAACTTGTGTTAAAATGTTCTCCAATTTTGAAAGGTCATCAAACAAAAACTTTATCAGGTTTCTTTGTCATTTTTGTTGCATTGAAACGTGCTATTTTTGAGGTGTAAATATGGTGCATGTGGTTAAATTCTTATGAAATTTTTATAAAACTCCAGCACGTTTTTCTTAAAATATTCCAGACTAAAGTGAGTTAACCCTCCCCCCCCCCAAAAAAAATGTATGTATATCATAGCAAGCCAAATTCGAATAAATTTTCTCTTGATTTAAACTGCAAGGAAATCTTCCTTTAAGCCATTTTGTAATAAGATTCATACTCCTTATTAGATGACCTTTTATTTGACCAGGCCTTACCCGACAGATTTGGAGAAACCAAGTATATTGACATCTACAGAAAATTAGAAGCCCTCAACGTTTTCAAGATGCCAAAACCACAAAATTTTGGGGACAGTGCTGCACTGGACAATGCCTTTAGAATGTTTGTTTGGAAAAAAAACAACTTACAGGATGAGACAAAATGGATTTTCACGAAGGTCATGCTATGGCCTAAGGCACTAATCAAATTTTTCTTAACACAAAATGCATAACACCTCCCATGTTACACTGTAGACTAAATTGGCCACAGCACTTGAAACGCAATAGATAGCCTGCTACTCACTCTTCCGCGGTCCTCTGTAGATTTGTGTTTTTCCTTTGCGCTTCTTCGAATTCACTGGCCCGTTCCCTGCTGGAGCTCCTTCCACTGAAAATAGATAGCAGTTCAGATGAGTCTGGAAACTAGACTGCATGTTTATTTCATCTTTATCAAGAAGTTGCAAATCCTGAAAGTGAACAGAATCCTTGACCACGAGTGACCTGACGCCACTTTCCTATAGATGACCCAAACACGTGCTTGCAAACCTGGGCAACATCATCAACACGTGGGGGATTTCGTAATTTTGGTGGGCAGTGGAGATCACTTGGGTAGTGACAGACATTATTTGATGCCCCGCTTAGAGATACAGGTAGATGCTCAGTACAAAATTTCAGCCTCTTAGAAGAGGTAAATGGTGGTGCTGGCTATAAAAAGGTTGACGAGCACTGACCTATAATGAGGTACTTTTCTTTGTACTTCTTGCATGAAATTACCCTTTACCCAACAAACATAGGCAAAATGTGCCACAATCACAGTCCTGCAGGAAAAGATAGACCTGCTTCTTGTCAAGAAACACTTGTCATTAACTTAGAGTTTACCAGTGTAAGTGTATGTAGAATACCAACTAAGTTAACTTTAAAAGTACAATTTGAGGATCTTTGTTTTGATCTAAAGTCAGGTGATTCTGTGAAATAAAAATCAGTTGGAAATTAGACTTCAAAGCACGCAATTTAAAGCTTAAAAGTACCTTGAAAACCTAACACTGATTGAACTTCTGAATAACAGAGACAAAAATCTATTGTGTGCATGATTGTTCAAAGACATAAGTTCCAGAATTATGACAAACGTCGCTTTTAAGCTTGAAACAAAATTGTCAGTATGGAAGTAATATGTTCACATGAAATAGAGTGATGACGTACATCTGGTCCTGGGCCCTTCAAGGCCATGCCGCATCACTTCGCACCAGCCAACGGGATATATGTCCGGGCTTTGACAGTCTATCCACTGGTCATAGTTGTTCTCCCAGCCATCAAAGTGAATGCGGAGGAGACGTCCCACAACCTTAGTTACAGTAGCCACGCAAATCAATCTGCAATCAAAATTGCCAATTTCAGCATGTCTAATTTTGAACAATGACACAATAAAACTCACCGTGTCAATACAATAAGAATCAAACAATTCCTAATTAAAAGTCATACACATTTAGGTAAAAGTCTACTTAAACCCTCCATTTGGAACTTACTTGATCTACTGCACACATACAAAGCCTCCACTCTCTGTAACTACATGTAGGTCGCCATGACATTATGTGCATAAGACACTTTTAAATCATCTTAAGGGGGGGGAGTAGATCTTTACCCATTTTTATACTTAATTCAACATCTTCAGACAGTATTTTCTCATTAATATGAGATTCACAATAGTTTTTGGGGGGCTTTTTTAAAAACTCAAACAAAAAGCATCACCAAGGTCTACATGGGAGTAGAACTCTTTCCAAAAGGAAATGAACAGGTGAAGAGAATACAAAAAAGAAACACAATTCATTGAAAGCTATCATGCAGGTCAAATATTAACTCACCTTGGCTCCATGAGATCCACTGCCTCCACTTTCATTCCAACACGGAACCCATGTTTTGGAATTTCCTGGAAGATAAAAAATACTATCAAATATAACACATCATGTTTACTTTTCACAAACTTATCAATTTTACAAACTACTAGAAGTTCAAAGTCATGTTGTGTCGGACACTCTGATAGATGCACATTTCTTATGGCCAATCAATTTTTAGCATTTTTCTTAAACTGCTATTGATAAATGCCTGTAGCCTTTTAGAAGTTTGTTTTTGCAAGTTTCCATGTTTCTGATCCATTAAGTAGAGTTATCTCTGTTAAGAACCAAAAAGATAATCACTCCTTGACAACATCAGACAAAGGCACAGAGAAGAAGGCAACAATTCTTGTTCTCAAGCGTGACCCCATCTAGATCTTAAGAGTGGTGGTGACAACTAATTCAACACATCCCAGAGTATCAGACTTACTAAAAAAGCTTTCACAGTTTGTTCTACAAGTTGTATTATGATCCAAACAGTTCTTACCTTGTCAAAAAGTTTAACTGGTGCAGCCATTGACCTGGTTTGTTTCAAATAATCAAACCACTTGAAAGGAGTTTTGATACCTGCATAAGAAAACAAAAACGAAAGTTATCCCATGAAGCAAGAAACAAGTAGCTCATCACAGCCATTATCAATTTATATTGAATGAAAATATTGCTATATCAAACACAAGGTCCCATTTCTTTTCTTAAAATAAAAAAATAAAGAGCAGACAGTTCTCTTTTGCACAATACCATTTATTTCTTCATAATTAACCCTTATTTCTTCTTTTTCGCTTAAAAAATATTATCCTTCGCAGATGTAATAGTCATCATCAGACACTGATGGATGAACAATTATTATCATTAATACCAATAAGCGCTCCTGCCAGACCATATATATCTGAAGTCCTGAAGGCATTAATAGCTGTGGCAGAAAAGTGGTGAAACTTCTTTCATCTTCAATGATCCTCTGCTCCCTTGTAGACTTCTCATTCATACTTCTAAATGATTATTTTCAACCACAGTGCCACGCTTAGCTATACTTGAAACAAAAGTCTTATTTCAAATCTGTATAATTCATTGTCTGGTTGCACCCACACTCCTTCTAAAGATAAACTTCAGACCATTGTCTGTTTCATAAATAACATAAAACAGACTGACAAAAAATACAGTGAAATCTATAAAATATTTTCTTTAATATCTAATTTACTTGCAAAGCTCTAAATGCACTTTCTGTAGGTATCTTTTCTGTATTCACATTCTAAAGACTAACACATCGCCTAGCAAGACATAAAGCTTCACCAAACACACTCATTTTGACTGTTACCATGACAGCAAAAAACAAGTAGGACTTTATGAAACATGCCACTTAAATTCGGTAGGACTGTCAGTAAAAAATAAATCAACACAAAACAAAAAGGAGACAGAGTATTATACAAGAAACACAAAACCAATAATATTCCATAGTTACAATAGTGACAGTTTGTCAAAGTACAATGGCAAAATGTATCTGCAGAGAATTTTCTTAGAGAAATAGAAGAAATAAGGATTAAGATGACTTGTAGCTTCTGCTATGGCAAATGATGGCAAATGAGACCAATTCTGGCAGAGAAGAGTAAGCCAAATATTGAGTGGGGAAAAAAAACTGTTTCACATTACCTCTTGGAGGAGTCAAGTTCAAGTTGTTGATCTCGCAGAAACCAACAGGGAAGATGCAGGGGGAAGTGGCATGGTAACAGAACCAGTCGCTGCCATTTTCAGCCATGGAACCATCAATACCAATCATCAAGTAATTGTTTCGAAGAACCTTGAATGAAACAAGGACAACAAATGCTTAACAAATAAAAACATACTCACAAAAAGAAAGAGTGTTAAAGTAGTATGAATATAAAAGGATTTTAAAAATAGTTTTAATGTCCTTTGTGTCTCTAAAATAATCAAAACATGTGATAACAAAGTTTTTTTTTCAAAAAGACAAAAAATAGCAGAATGCCAAATAGCTATATAAGCAAGCAGAAAGAAAAGAACTAGAAGAACATAGTGATATATGAGATGTCTTTAGTAAGTAAGAGTTTTACACTATTTGCTACATAAATAGGTCATATAGATGCCAAAAGGTAAAGGTGCTACTAGAGAGTGACCTACAAAGAAAACAAGGAGCGATAAGAACAATTGATGTTTGACAGGAAAGAAGAGGCAAACCACCACAGCACTAGAGCACCTGCCAACAACCCACTTGAGATTTTAGTGTCAAAAAGACTTAAAACCAAAAGAAAGGAGTAACAGCCTGAACTTCTGGGCATTACCTTTGTAACAGTTGCAACACAGATGGCAGACAAGTTGAGTGGGTCTATCGCTTCAAGCTTCATACCCACTTGGAAGGCCAGGCCATGTGGGGGATCTTTTACCTGATGAACACAACAAAATATAAATGTTTGCATGAGCAAGGTATTTCTCCAGGGCACAAGTGTGGGTAAGCACAGGCGTACACATAAACTAAAACTAAAATATGGATCAATGCTAAAATATATAAGAGGTGCAAACTGGCTACGGGAAAAAACAACCCCTCAAATTGGAAAAATATAATTATGTTAGACATTATGACCCAGCAGATCACATACACTAACAAAATTTCTGGTCGCTCTAGCTCAGCCCTTTGTGTCTGGGTATAGTACTTCTCACACTTAGAAAGGCCCCAGTGACTACCAACCTTGATGTCATAATAATAGATTGTCTGTGTATGTCTGAAAATGACCACTGCATCTGCAGAGGAGAGTATTTCTTGAGCGAAATAGATGAATTAAAGATAAAGGTGATTTATGGCCTCTGCTACAGCCACTGAGACCAATTCTGACAGAGAAAAGTTTGGCACATTTTGAGTATTTGAAAGCTTTATTTTCACTTGTGAATGTGCACAGTTTGCAGGTTACTCTCTTACGCTTCAGCATATTAAAAAATGTCATACACAAAATAACAGTACAACAAGTACAAATGCTCCAACCTTTGGGAACATGTCTGGTGTGACATCAGTAGCGCCATACTTTTGCATTGTCACTTTACTCAAACAGGAATTGATATAATCTGTGGAGAAAAGAAGAAAAATGACCCAAGGGCTGAACAATGTGAAAACAATTATTGTATACACTCGCCTTTAACATGACCTTGTATGTAAATACAGGGGTTATACTTTGATTCTAAAATCGGCCCATTTTTGTAAGTTGCTGATATAATACAGGGAGAATTTCTGACATGAAGGAGGGGGTGCAACATGCATGAATTCAAATACTTATCAGGCAACTGTTCTGGATATTTAGTGCAAAGGCCTACGTCATGGGTATAATACGGAGAGGTTATACTTTTTTATCTTTTTTTTTTAAACTGCACATTCTATACAGAATTATACGCAAAAAATACAGAGCAGGTGAGGATATTTCTGATACACAGAAAAGTAACTTTTTATCAGTGTGTACACACTTGGCGAAATGTACCAGATGACGCATTTTGAGGATTTGTGTTCTATTGCACTATAAAAATTTTCCAAAATACATTTTAACGTAAAATTCATACAAATCCTGGAAAATAAGGGCAGATAAATAGCTAAAAAATAATTAGCTAATGGGACTCAATGTTTGTAAAAAAACTGATTTTTGACCTTTATTGCCTTATGGTGCCTTTCTCCAGGCATGTGCACATATATTCCAAAAACAAAAAGCATTGCCCTTCCCAACACCTGCTCATCTTTTGATGCCTTATCTAATAAATTAGAAAGGAAAATTAAATAATTATGTGACAACACCAGTTACCATTGGCACAATAATAAAAAAAAAAGAAGATGATTATAATAATAAAAGAAAATCATGGGCCCTACAGATATAGTTAAATGAATTATAAAAATACGCACACCAGAGTATCACTGTCATTATACTGACAAATAAAACCCCCTTTCTTACCATGGGAAGCGTGAAGTTTGTGTCCAATGATCTGAGACCATCCGATCGGATGGATTAATGGAGATGTCATATGGCACCAGAACTCGTCAATCTCATCCTGTTGACAAATATTTTCAAAATGTGGAAAATTTGCAAATCTTTTGCAGAAGAGGACAAAAAACCTCAACAAACAGCAGAAAATAAAAGGAAACAAGGAATGTTAGACAAAATCAAAGTCTTTTTCTACCCTTAAGACAGTATTGAATTTTAACACATTACACCCTAACTCGCCCGGGAATTCCCTTACGCGCTCCACCCTGACTCGCCCGGAACCGCCCGCGCCGACCCAGCCTCTTTAGAAACGAAAGTCTCGCCTTGACGAGACTCTGGGGCCGGGATTTTGATTTGCATAGTATAGCAAAAAGTTTCTTCTTTCGTTTGATACCGAAACGAAATTTTTCCGGCTAGTAGTTTTAGTATTAGAGCTGATCGAAGTGCGATCGCGTTACCGACACTTCGAAAGTGCCTCGACTTGTTGAAAAGCGACACAATTGAGTTCGAAAACGGAAATAACGATGGACTTGAGCAAAAACGAGCATGTGACAAATCAGATGGCTCAGATTTTGATGAAAACGTTGTAGGAAGAGTTGGGGCGATTCCGATTGATCAGACGGAGAAATTATAGAATTTAGATCTAGGGCCCGACCGCGAGGCTGAGAGTGAGAGTGATGGGTCGGACACCCCGATTGAACTAAAGTGAGAATATTTCCAACAGTTTGCGCATACATAAAGTTATATTTTTCTGAAACTACATTCAGTTTTCTTTTTAACTTTTATTTTTTCAGGATTTTTGGAATTTGTTTAGTATTTTTTAAATGTGTTTTTTAAAGGCTAGTATTCACAGGAGGTGGGTTCTTTCCCCTTGCTTAGGATCTAACAATGGACTTCCCGTCCAGGCCCTTAGGGTGTAATGTGTTAAGAAAAGAGCAGGAAAAAAAAAAAAAAAAAAAAGAACATCCCACCCACTGTCAGTGTAACTCTAGGTATAAAAAAACAAAAAAAAACCCCAAAACCCACACACAAGATGTTGTGTCAATCCGTACCCCACTGTCGGCATAATTGAGCCTGAGCCTGCCGCCAATGATGTCCTTGATGACCGCCAGCCTCATGGCGGAGACACACATTTTGTTGACCACCTCCAGCTGCATGCCCATCTTCATCTTGTGCTCGTGCAGCCACTCCTGACTCTGGAATACGGAGGAACAATAACGCAGATAAATCAACAGAAGTAGTATCAAATCTAAGCTGCTTTCAAGGAAAGGAAAAGAGGGAATTTAAGACCTCAGTTTTGGAAAATAACGACACGCTCGCCACTAGGACCAAAAGCACAACATATAATTCAAAGAAACATGAGAGAATCTGCCAATGGTGGAAGGGCAATAAAATTGTTACTGTTGACACTTACAAACAATTTGATGTTGTTTTGTTCTTTTATGCAGGAGGAAGGGGAAGAGGGACACTTAGCTCATACTGAAATAAAAATTTCTTTATCACCCCCTCCCCCCCCCCCCCCCCAAAAAAAATTGGTTATTTAAAAAAAAAAAAAATCAATTGAAACGCAATAAAATCATATTTATTTTCCTCTCAGACCCCTAGGCTAGAAAGGTAGACACAAGGTTTTTTCCAGTATTCAACGTGCATAAATATAAACAAGAAGGAATATTTATTGTCATAAGAGTTACCTTGGCATAAAAATGAGGAGGTATGGTACGAGTGCCAGTTAGTCTCTTGATGAGAAATTCTTTCCAGTCTACATACTTGTCTTTAATGGCTGTGGGAAAAACGAAGTTAAATAATGAAAACATTAAAAAAAGCAATTTTTATCAAATGTATATAAAGACCCAAAAATGCGTTTACAAATGAAAAACTCACAACACGCTAATATAGTCATGAACCACTATTTCTTACTCTTAATCAACGATTGACAAATTTTCTGTTTGACTAAACAAGTATAACTTTTGCATTCTGCTCAAAATGTATCAACTTGCTGCTTATAAATAAATATTTACTCTAAAATTACTTCTCTCAATGTGAGCTTCTTTACATTTTCATTTAAAGAATATAAGAATACCCGGGGTTTTATATGTCTTAAGTAAAGAAAACAACAACCAAAAATAGAAATAACTATTAAAAAATTACTAGTTGCAGCATTTTGGCACTACCATTATACTTCTGAACATTTTGGCTATTTGCAAGATACTGAAAGCCCTTACCTTTTGGTGGAGAGAGCATTTTTCCATAAGTTGCACACCATCCAACATTATGCATATCTTCTGACAACAAATTGCTCCAAAAATCTTTTGAACCATCACTGCCAAAACCCTCATACCTGAGAAGGACTTTGTAACCTAAAAGCAAAACAAACACTTTTTCAAAATATTGAAGAGCCAATGATAACTGTATCATATTTCAATTACAAAGTTTATTTAAAATGATGATCATGTGTGTGCGTGAGTGTGTGTGTGTGTTCATTACATAAATATAATTATTATTAGAGTTTTACCCAATCTATCAGCACATTAGTTTAGTTTTAGTTTTAGTAGAGGTTTTACGGCGCTCGCAACTGCATAAGGTCATATGAGCTCCAGAAGATTAGAGATGTTACAAGAGAGTAACAAACATAAAAAAGAAGAAGGGGAGATAAGGATGATAGATGTTTGATAGGAAAGAAGAAGCAAACCACACCAGAGCACCTGCCAACCACCCACCAGCACATACATAAACTTTCTACCCTTTCAGGGAACCTGTTTATTTACAATCATCAATACAGACAAGATGCAACTGACAAAGAGAAAAAGTTTTCAGTTTAAAATGTTTCAAAAGGCATAAGACTACATGGGCATGAAAGAAACATTAACAGGTCAGCTCATATTGCCTATTTTACTGACATGAACAAGGTAAAAAACAGTAACTATATACATATTCATGGAGATAATACATCTTCAAGAAATAGTTTACACATTCACAAAGACAGTAGGTAAAGATAAGCTTACCACAAATCTTCAATACAGTAGCAATCCAATAAACTTTTACGTCTTTCGGCACATCAAGGTCAGTATTAGGCACTTCTACAAGAACACCATCTACCATCTGGTCCCAACAATCATTCATAGGCACCTGAAGATTGGCAAACAATATTTTTTTTAGCTTTAGCAAGAGTTTTATAGCACTTGCGACACAAATAGGTCATATAAGTGCCGAAGATTAGAGGTGTTCCTAGATATTAACATGCAACTAAAAGAAGGAGGAAAAAGGGATGATATATGTTTGAAAGGAAAGAAGGAGCAAACCACACCAAAGCACCTGCCAATCACTCATCAAACCAAACAACATCTGATGCTTTTAAACAATGTTTTCAAATGGCAGACACCATTAATGTTGATATTTCAAACAACCGAGGCAATAAAATGTAATGTATAGAGTTTACATGCTAGAAATTTTTTTAATGCAAAAACAGACTCTACCCACATGGTGGGTCAAGATAGTGGGCACTAGCCATGCAAACCCCCCACCCCCTTCACACATCATTAATCATTAGTCGTAAATCCAGCCTTTTAAGTTCATGATTTTTCTACTGCATCGGGAAGTCAGTGAAGAACAATACTAGCAAATGGACTTCTTTACCAAGACCCTAACAAATGTATTAAATAGGCCTACGCGCTTTTTTTTCGAACTGGTTGACTACTATTCACTACTATGTGTTTATGTTTGCAAAAAGATGTTACGGGTGTACAAAATGAGCGCATCAGCTGTACCAACACTGGAACTACAAATGTACTTAATATGTTTTGATGATTTTTAAACGATTTGCCAGCCAACAGAACAACAGCCTACCTTTTCTTTACTTGCAGCTGTATAACATAAACAAAACACAAATATTCCAGGAGAAAAGAACTCTACATTTCATTCTTACTAATCCAGTAGGTAAAACGCAGCAAAAAATTTTTCGATCCCTATCATGGCAAGATATGTACTTACATGTTTGAAACAAGAAACAGGAGCAGCGTTAGCCTGGGAACTGACCAAATACGGTCCCCAATCAAAAACTCGTCCGGTCTCTGTGAAAAGACAAAAAATAAACAGTTAGAACCAAAAATTAATTGCACAATAGCTCTCCTTACACCTTTCTCATAAACTCATTCAGTAAAACCTACAATAAAATTCAATTTAATGTAAGAAATGTCAACAGTACCAAAAAGAACAAAAAGACCCCCCCCCCCCCCCCCCCAAACCAAACAACTAAAAAAAATAAAAACTCCAACAAATTCATATACACACATACACCAAAACAAAAAAAAAAAAAAAAAATAGCCCACACCCAATAAAATCTGAAATCTCCAGATTCTACAGGAACAAAGAGCCCAATATACAGTCATACATTGCCATTGCTAATGACTGTGAAACTCATCATGATGTTACGGAATCAAAGAATTTATTCTACAAAAATGCTTTTCAATGGACTGTACATACCTCCTCGAAGTGAGGCTTTGAACAAGCTTGGTTGTGTTTTAGGGTTGATTTTCTTGGAACCAGGTTTGCCCTGTGGAAAAAAAAAAGATGATGAAACCATTACTAATGTAATGCCATATAATTAATTATTGGTCCAAACATAAAAAAAAAAAAAAAATAAACCAAACATAAGAGAAATTACATGGTCCTGTCTTGTCAGTTGTACATTATAAGACATTCCTGTTCAATGAATTTTCAACCCCTAATCCCAAGTGACAAGTAAAACAGATGCCCACAAACATTTCTATGCCATTTTGCATTTCAAAAGCCCATTCTAAAAAAGAAAAAAAGAAAAAGAAGAAGACAATCACTGTGACTAAAACTTTCACATATTTTGACCAACTTGTAAGTTTTTTGACCAACTTGTAAGTTTCCAATACGACCTTTCTCCCAGCTATCAAGCCTGTAGCTTATTCAGTTAAGTTCATTTTGTGACTCAAGTATAACATGTATACACGTTAAAAGAACCCAGTGTGCGAAGATAACCCACCTTTTTCACGGCAGCTGGAGGGGTTGGCTTTGGCGGAACGGGTTTTCCTTCTCTTTGATATGTGGCGTAGCTTCTAGAACAGGAAAGACTGCAGAATCGTTTGGATTTGGAGTAGAAGGCATGTTTGACGCCCACAGCACCACATCTTTCACATGTTGCTGAACAGAATATAAATCATGAATATTTATTAGAGGCATAAGAAAAGTGTACGAGCAAGCTCATTTCAAGATACTATTGTTTTCAGCCCCAATATAAAAGATAAGGTACAAAATTATTGCTTCAAACCCCCCCCCCCCCATGAATAATCAGTTCTCTATCAAACATGTCAGTGAGAAATAGCTTTCAGTTAAAAGAATGTTTACAAGTACAAGAAAATGCATGATTGAAGGACCTAGGTCTTTCCTTTTATCATGGCTTTTAACTCTTTTGTCTTTGTATAGATATCTATATTTGATCAGACCTTTAAAGCCATTTTCATATTTTAACAAAGACCAAAATCATTAATAGAATGCTGACAGTAAGAGCTTGAGTGTGGTAAAAAAAAACAAGCAAATTAACAACCACAACAACAAAGAAGCCCCTCCTTCAAGTCCCAAATCAACAAACAAAAGCTCAGCAACTCCCCCCCCCCCCCAAATATGAAGAAACCCACAACAACAAATAACATAACAAAATCAAAATCTACAATTCCTGCACAATTATAGTCCTACCCATTCCATCCTTGCTATTTAGGAATCTATACTTGCTGACACTCTCATCAGTATCAAGAAACTCGTCCTCAAGGAGACTGGTGTCCAAATCATCGTTGTCTGAGCTGACAACACTCTCGTTGTAGCTGTCATACCCATCATAGATGCCCAGAGAACTGGCAAAGTCATCTTCGCCCTATACCACAAAAGAAGAAAAAAAAAACTTCATTAGTTCAGAGAAAGATGTACTCAAGAAGATTTCTTCACAAGAGGAAGAGTCTTCACAGAGCTGAAATGTTTTGTCTTTACATACTCTAATTATAGCTCACAAAACGCTTCATACTACCATAACACACCTGGATGGTTTTTACACAAAAATATGGATAAGGGAATTGTCTTCCATGCTGGACATACCATCTCAGGCATTATTGTTTTATAAAGCAGCACATACACTCCAAGTATTTACCCTTCCCCACAGAGATCATAATCCCAACAACAATACACTTAATTGCTTGCTCCAATCCTGAAGGGAGAGGTGCAAGGCAGTAATGTTCAAATGTATTCCAACATATTATCTTACAGCACACTCACTTTCTTTTTAAAAAAAAGGTACACAATTTATATCAGCTTATATTATTCAAAAACATTAATTCTTGCCATGAATCTTTAACACATTTATCTTTTCAGAAACAATAGAAGGGACCCCACCACCCGTTTTTCAGAAACAATAGAAGGGACCCCCCCCCCCACCCAGAAAGACAGCTGTCTCTTGTTGACTCTTATAACATTATAATGGTAGAAGAGTTTTAAGTATTCTGTAGAGGGCGGCATAGAAGAATCCACAGTCTGTGCAAATCAAACAGAAGAATACTCACTGTACACATCATGAAGTGTGAAACAAAGAAAACTGAAGCTGAGCCTGTGCAGAACCTTACCTGAGCATCGTACACTTGATCTGAACGATTGTCCACTGAGCCTATTGAAGATTCATCTTGCTTCTGGAAAGCATTGAGAGAGTCCTCTCGGTCACCCAAGCTCAAATTACTCCAATCTGCAGAGAACACAAAGAACACTGATGTTGCAAAAACTTTTTAAAAATAGGAACAAAGAGTAAGACAAGCAAAGTGTTTCCTACCTAATGCAAGATTCAGCATTGGAAAGTACACAGCACTTTTTGCTTTTTAAAGAGTAAAGAATAGCAAAATGTCTTAAAAGAAAATTTCATATTTACACTAAATATCAAGCCTCTCTGTAAATGGTCAGGACAGTCTTTTTTACTTTGCTTTTATTTCATAACTGAACAATATGGAATTACACAAGAAAAACTGACACATATATATATATATAAAAATATAGTTTTAAGTGACTCACCAGTATCACCTGTGTCCTGGGGGGGGGGGGGGGGGGGGGGAGAATAAATGAATGCAGTTAGTCATAAACTCAAAGTCAAATATCATGCTTACTGCAGTATCGAACAATCAACTTATTCCCAATGATGCATAGGTGAAATGAAGATTGAAGCGATTCTCATTAGCACTAGCAACATGCCACATCAAATGATGCAGTGAACGAAGGAATGTTGTGCCCCCAACCACTGAGACTGCGCAAAATGATCGAAAGAACGACCTCCAACCACTTTCTGTAAAAAAAAAAGAAGCGGAAGACAAGATACATCTATGAAGGTTCACAAGTAAATGGACCAGAAACCAACTAGGTCAAAGTAAACTTTAACTCTCCTCCATTTGACTTGACCTCTTTCACTCTCAGGGATTCCATCCTCGGAGGAGCAACATTTGGGTTTCTGTGTCGTCATGCGTGAAAGAAGCTTTAACTTGCGCCTCTTTAAATAAAGGCCAGCTCTATTTCTCCGAACGCTCGGGAAATTAAACTTGAATTCTATTTCCCCGAACGTTTCTGTTCTCCAGATTTTTTTGTTATTTGCGAATGCCGTGGCTCGCACGCCCGCGTGCGCGAGAATGTGCGTGCATGTGTGTAAAACGCCTAGAACAGACGTGGAACGTGGAGGGATATTTTTTTTTTTGATTTTTGCTTTAGGGGTAACTAAAGGCAAAATAGGTTACTGTCGAGCAGTCTTGTTTTCTCGCATTACCCCCTGAAGGAATTTTCAAATGAAGTATAGTCCGGGAACGTAGCCCCAACCACAATTGAAGTATCTGAATATTCAGACATCTAAAAATCTCTAGCTCTAGAAATTGAATTCGATGCAAACACTGCTTCTTCCCAGCCCTCGCAAAATGGCAGAGTGAAAGATGGCGAAGAACTCTCGCAAAAAACCCCAAGAAATCTCCAGAACGGGAACAGTTCTGAGAAATAGAGGACAAGTTTATTTTCCCGAGTGTTCTGAGAAATCGTTGAAGTCACACAAGCGTCTTGTCGGGCTCGCCATCGTGACCGGTCGGTGAACCTGTGCATGCGCATCACATTGTGAGTACCGGTTGGGGGTCACCAAAGTTCATTCAAAGCCTGGGCGCTGCGAAGTATAGGGCTCCGGAATTGGGGGGGGGGGGGGAATTATTGATTTTTCTTTAAAGGTACAGTCGGTGGAGGGGTGGGGATGAAGGCAACAGCGGATGACAAAAACTGAACTTGGAGTTCTAAACTGCCCTGTTACCATGTACATGACACCGAGACTATGTGCCCGGTTGCCGGTTATCGTGTACGTAATTGAGGCTACATGCCCGGTTACCGCGTACTTGACACTGAGTCTGCTGAGACTACGTGCTCGGTTGCCGGTTACTGTGTGCGTAGACACTGAGGCTAGGTGCCCGGTTACCGAGTACGTAGACACTCCGTTATCGGAGTGGTTATGATAGCACACTTGAGACTTGAGGTACAAGGCTAACAAGGTGAGAAGTTTTGACCATCGTTTGCCAACTGAACGGTCGAACCTTGATCTCACTGGGAGGGCCTCTCCCTCTCAATTCCCCATCCCAGATGGAATTATTTTCCGGCTCCCTTGCCATTCTGTCTTAGGACTGACTTAGAGTGACTATGGCATGACATACACAGCAGGTCAAGAGACAAAAGTCTCCAACTCCAAGAATAAACTGAGAGAAATTTAACGGGTGGTAGCCGTTAACGTTGATGTTCAAAAGAGATGACAATGACAATGACAATGACAATCTTTATTCATCTCGCAGATACAGAGGACGGCTCACAAGGAACTAGATCTAATTATTATACTGACAAAATGAACTTGCAATGCCATATCACCACCAAAGTTAATGGTCCCGAGCCCGATGAACTGTAACTGACTTCGGGAGCAAACTTGGATTTGGCTTTGGCTTTGGAAGTTGATAGATTCTAGATTCTAGGTCTAGCATTGTTGACTGTATAGAACAAGATCTGGATCTCGACAACCTTATATATTGGTGATGTTATCGAGTAAAAGACGAAGACTTATTTCACAGTGGAGTGGAGATCGAGATGCAGGGAAAGATATCTCAACCTCAAATTCTAGCCGTCAAAAATCGACGTGGTGGAAACGAAACTCGGGAGCGAGTTGGCCTAACGCCCGGCTAATACAACAACCAGTAACAAGCTCCATAATTTCAGACATCTCATCTTAAGAAGGTAAAGCCATGACTATTTAGTAATTCCAACAAGTGAAAATGATAACTATGGCTGAAAATCCCAACTCACCATGACTTTTTCACATTATCCTTGCCTCTAACACAACAAACTCAAAACAAAAACAAAAGATGCTGTTGCATGTAAACTTCTGCAGCAAGACAACACAAGCATTACCAAGTGCGCATGCGTTGTGACTTTTAGCATCCTAGAAACAAGAAACGGGATTGGATATCCTGTGCATTGAAAATAAGGGTTTCCCAAAATCTACCAATGAAAAAGCGGCATTAATTTCAAGGTCGGAAACCTCACCGGAAGCTCTAACCTTTAACCCATTAGCTCATCTGTGAAGAAGATAGAAAAAAAAAAAGCTAGGCCTAGCAGCTGAATTAGAAAGTAGAAAGAAAGTTGTCTCCCTCTTGCGAATATTGCCAAGTGCCAAGTGCCAAAGATCTTGATCTAATACAGATCTCGAGATAAAACAACAACAACACTGACATTGAACAACACACTACTCTACTGCTAGACAAAAGCGTTGCTTCTAATCGAGAAAATTCTGCGCAAAAAAGTTGAGGCCAGGAGTTAAAAATGTAAGTTTTTTTAAAGTGGTACTTTAAGATCCCGTTGTTTTAAAAGAAACGCAGTGGCTACGTCCACTGCCATGAGACTACTTTCACGGGGCTGTGAATGTAGATCTAGTTGGCAGGCTACGTTCACAGCGCCCTGGATGCAGATTGCAGGCGCTGTTGAGGCTATATGTTCACTGCATTTAGGACTTAGTCTTACGTTTAGACAGAGCGTACACTGCCGGTTTAATTTTAAGCCGGTCTTAGTCAGTGACTATATTTAATAATTTGGCCTGCTTCCAGCATTCCATCCCATGAGATGAAGGAAAACGAAGCAGTGATACTTGACCAATCGGCCATTCGTCGTTTTCCCTTACACTGAGCTTTTGGTTCAGAGCTCGCCAGTGTAAGGATAAACGACGAACTCTCAATTACGTAACAACACATTAGGATAGTCTATATGACAAAAATATATATGCCTACCAAATGTTTCAGTTGCCCTCTCACGTCCGGGCAAGATTTAGGTGCGACTTCGTGTTAGCTCTTGATGGCCCATGATATGCAATTTTGTCTGCGGGCAGTGTGTGTGTGTGAGAGAGAGAGATCGAGAGAGAGAGTGAAGGGGG